AGTGTCCCTGTCTGGTGTGAATGACACACACAAAAGCAAGGAATTCTGGGAAGCCCTGGCCACAATCAAAACCTAAGGAAACATTACAGAGATAGAAAGAAGGTTTTCTAGGCTCAGAACCCCTTCTTTTACCATGGAATCCTCTGAGTCCTTTCTCTAAAGAAAGAAGTTTATCTGAAAATTCTTCTGTCCGCTTTTTGATTGCAGGACTGATAGGCTTTTCAATCCAGAACTTCTTCCGGGGATATCTAGAGGGAATGGAGTCACAGTGAGAACTACTGGAGGAAAGGCACGATTTCCCACCGTCACCACAGGCACTTAGACAAATACCAATAATGGACTAAAGGGGTGGAGCGTTAAAGCTACATTTCCAAACTCTCAGTTTCAACATCAGAGTCAAACAACGATATAGAGTTCTGAATAAAGGGCCATGATCCAAGGATTCTCTACTCACCAACATATCATTAAGGTACAATATTAAAAAAGAAAGAAAGCCATTTTCTGCCTTTGAAAATCTTCGAAACATGCTATTAATACTACAACTTCTAAAGAAACCACCCGAGGATATAAACTAGACAAATTAAAATTAAGCTTTAAATATATGTTTGTTAAAAACTTTAAATTTTAAATTAAGATATAGCTGGGCAGAGATATGTAAGCTAAATACACAATGAAAGAAATCTGAGGTCTTTATCTTATTATCAAGCAGGAGTGAATTTAAGGTAAGAAAATTAAATAAAACAACAGAGGGTATTCTATTACTAAGAAGATTATAACCCATAATTAAGATACAACTCTCCTTAAAGGTTATAAAAAAAAAGCATCAAAATATAAAAAGCCAAAACTCACTAATAGGAATCTCTGAGTGACTTCTTTTAGTCTATGACATATCAAGAAGATAAAAAGTGAGTATCAAAACAAAATACCTAAATAACAAAATTACTAAGGAATACCTCATAGAGATATAGCAAATCCTATTCTAAGAACACAGAGAATGTACCTTCTTTTCAAGTGTTTGGAACATCTAAAAAATTTGCAACAGAGAGCCTCAATAAAGTCCAAAAGGGTAGATGGCAACAAAGTCGTCAGATCACAAGATTTAAAAACTATGAAACATAAAACTATCAGAAAAAAATCCTAGCATCTGACAGATACCCTCTTTCTTAAATCTTATGTTAAACAGCAAATCAAATTCAAAGTTTAAAAATAACTAGAAAACAATAAAATACCATATACTAGAAATTACGGCCTATGACAAAAGCAGGGCTCATAGACATACACATACAAAAACAAAACAAAATTAAAAATAGAAAAAAAAGAGAGGCAAGTAGAGGAGACAAAAGTAGAAATACAACAAAAATAAACAAAAATTTTCAGAAATAAAAATTAAACTTAAGGACATTATGGCAAACTACACAAATACTTTTGAAAATATGAATGAAAATGGTAATTTTCCACGATCTATAAATACTAACTATTCCAATTTAAAAATGTCCGAATGAACTTATTTTAAAAGAAAATAAAATTTTATGTTGCTTATAAAAGATACATAAAAATAACCACACAGAAAGGTTGAGAGTTAAAAGATAAAAAGTTAAATACCATGCAAACATTAATCAAAAGAAAGCTAGAATAACTGTACTAAAAGCAGATAAAATGCTTTAGGGCCAGAGGCATTACCCATTCTGTATCACCTTCCTTTCTCACATAATTATTCATCTCTAATGTCTCTGTCCAGTCTCCCCAGCCAGAATCTGGTAACCTATCTCATTATCCTCCTTTCTACCCAGTGTTTGGTCTGCAGTAAATGCTCAGTATATGCCAGTAATCCTGGATGTCTCTGGGCTGATCTGTGTATTATCAAAATACCTGCCCTTGATTCTCTGTTCAAAGCTTCTGAGTACTATGCGGGTGTGATTTTGAAAATTGTCATTGTTGACTGTCTCACACACATTTCCTCAGACCCACCGTCAGAGAAATCATTATCCCTATGACCCACATAAAGTGTCCTCTTCTTATGGTTGGGCAGAGAGCAGGAAACCATCACTAACAAGCATGGAGGACAATCTGATGACGAAATGTGCTCAACAGAATACGGGGGAAGCTATGGCCAGCAGAGGCAGCTGGGAACCAGGCAGGAATAGAAAGAATGAAAGGATATTGGGTTTTAGAAACAAACATGGATTCTAAATTTTCTTTAATACTCTCCCATAATCTCCTCCCATTTCAGTTCTCCCTATACCATTAGCATCCTCACATAAGTTTCACGACAGTAATTTTTCTAGAACTCCCTCCCCCATTCCATGGAATGGAATTTACCCTTTTCTTTCAATTTACCCTTTTCAGAGAAGAACCCCTCTTCTTCCAAATAACCCCTTTCCAGTCCTTGTTAAACTAATGTAAGGTGACAGAAAGAGAAAACAAAGGGACACCTAAATGGTTAAAAACAAACAAAAAAGCAAGCAGCACTTACCTGCTTATTATGTCACTTGGGTCCTGGAAAGGAAGAGAACACAGACTGTCATGGAAATAAGGTTCCTAGGCGCCAGCACCATTCCCTCCCACGGGCTCGCTGGGGAATGGGTACTTGACAGGACTGTACAGAGAATTATTCTGACCAGCCTGGACCTGCTCTGTTCTCCACTGTAGTATCAGTTTATGGGGACATATGTTTCCCTTTCCTTTCTTCCATTTGAGTCTAGACCATCCCCTCCGGGAAACCTTCCTTAATCTATTAAGAATCCTCTTGTCTATCAGGTTAAGACTTAAATCTCAACCTGCCTTGGAAGCCTCTTCTCATCTGCCCTGTAACTTCCTCCTCACTTAAACTGACTCCTCCAGAATTGTAGCTCCTTTCACTCTGTATACCCTTCCGATCTTCCAAATTGTCTTCCTCGGTATCTATGCTCATCTTTTTATTATCACATTCATTAGGTTTATTATCACATTCATTTTTTCAACCAACGCACCTTCACCAAATGGAACATTCAACTTCTCCTTTCTGCTAATCCAAATCTTTACATTTTCTTCAAGGCTACGATTAAGGGCCACTTCTTTCACGAAGCCTTCCCTGACTAAACCTTAGCCTTTTCCAGAACTCCTGTGGCTTCCAGTTTGACCACAAGACTTAATGTTCAATTATTTGTTGTAATTATAAATGTATAGCTCTTACTAGCTCCTTGTATGATCTGTGCATTCTGTAGTCCCCTGCCCACTGTAATTTGGGACTTAAAACCTATTGGATTTCTGTTTAACTTTTCAAAGAACTCAGTAAGTGAAAATAAAACCTTGGCTCTCCTGACTCCTTGTCCAAATCTCATGCTAATGGAGAGGCCGCAAAGCAGCCTGGAGCAAGAGGACTCAGGTATAGTTCAGTTGGCCCCTCACCTGCAAAAGTTCAAGTGCTGGCTGCCGAGCCTTCTTCTCTAACTCAGAAATCAAGGTTCCAAGCCGGACCACCTCTTCAGAGCCCTTGGTGACATGGCTGTTCTTCCCTTCAGTGAGCTCTTGCTCCATCCCCTCCAGCCACTCCAACAGGTACTGCTCCCTTTCTCTCAGGAACTGATGGCCCTGTTCAAACACTGATGCTATGTCTTGTTTGTGGCTCTGGAATTTTGCCTAGAGTAAAGGCAGAAAGAGAAAGAGGATTTCCCCTGAGAGGCTAGGAAACACCAGAACATTTGTGAGATCTGGGGATAAGTTCAGAACAAAAATCCCTTCCATCATACCCTCCTTCTCCCCATCCTTCAATATGCCCATATGCCCCTCCTCCCCTACACTCACTCCCACCACACACACATGGACACAGAACATTTGCTTGTGACTTCTCTTACCAGCAGGGCCTGAATCTCATCTTCTCCCGTAGACTGAAAATTCTGAATCCTGTCTCTGTCTCCCTTCAGAATCTTCAGATGGTTTAGGATTTTACCCTATGGAAATAAACACAAATAATCTCAAGATGAAGATGAAAATGCCCTAAATAAGAAAGATGCAAAATGACCCCAGAGTGAAATCAGATAGTGTTTGACCTTATATAGTTTAATAGTCATGTGGAATAGTTTCCTTCCTAGTTAATGAAGAAGAAACAAAGTGAGTGCTGTTAGCCTAGAGCAGTTTCTCAGAAATGAGATCGAACACACATTACACTTATTCAGTGCTGAATGTCAATTACATCTCAATAAAGCTGAAAGAAAAAATTAAGTGAAATAAAGTAATAAATAATATTAATACAACCACTCAGACTTATAGTTTTTATTTATATTTACACTGTCTCTTTCTACCACAAATACAGACAATTTATATTAAAATTAATTAATAACAGAAATAAAAAAAGAAAATCAATACAAAAAGTGAAGGAAAGTATATCTATATTAACTCCAAATTATTGACAGAATGACTAAATTGGTTTTAAGATTCCTGTCAGCTATGGAGAAAAGGAAAACAATGAATCACATAATTCTTTAGCAGACAGGAAGAAATATACTATGACCTCAGGAAAAGTACTTTCCCTGAGATTAAATTCTGAAAGAAAATTTTTATAAGAGATTATATACAGGATTCAATACTCTTAAAAATGTTTTTATAAAACATATGTGCTGGAAACACCCAATCTGAAGCTCTGGATCAAGAGGGCTGATGCCCTACACTGCAGGTTGAGACCTGATCCAAGTGCTTTAGAAACTAAAACATCAAGGCAATGGGATAGACTCATTATTATAAAAGATATGAAAACAAACCAGCTTTATTATCTAAATTCAAACGGTAATGCTTTGCCAAGAACTTCCCCCGCAAAAGAATTTGAACCTGATACCTGTTAGGATGGCTATTATTAAAAACCAAAATAACAAAATAAAAACAAAAAAGATAGCAAGAATTGGTGAGGATGTGACAAAAAGGAAACTCTGGTACACTGTTGATGGGAATGTAAACTGGCACAGCCAGTATGGAAAACATAGATGTTTCTCAAAACATTAAAAATAGAACTACCATATGATCCAGCAATCCCACTTTTAGATATTTATCCAAAGGAACTAAAATCGGGATCTTGAAGAGATACCTGTACTTCCACGTTCACTGCAGCATTATTCTCAATTGCCAAGATATGGAAACAACCTAAATGTCCAATGGATGAGTGGATAAAGACAATAGAGTACTGAGCAACAGAATATTACTCAGCCTTTAAAAAGGAGATCCTGCCATTTGCAACAACATAGATGGACCTGGAGGACATGATGCTAAGTGAAATAAGCCAGACATGAAAGACAAATACTGTATAATCTCACTTATATGAGGAATCTAAAAACAGTCAAACTCATAGAAGAGGAATGTAGAATGGTTGTTGCCAGTAGCTGCAGGGGAGGGAAAGGGGAGTTGATGGTCAAATGGTAAAAGTTTCAGTTATGCAAGATAAATAAATTCTGAAGATCTACTCTACAGCATAGTCCTTAAAGATAACAATACTGTGTTGTATACTTAAATTTGCTAACAGGATAGATCTCATTACACATAAACCCACACACAACAACACAATAATAACAAAACAGGTGGGAGGAAACTTGGGTGGGATGGATATGTCTGTGGCCTTGACGGCAGTGACGGTTTCACAGGTGAATACTTATCCCCAAAGTTATCAAGTTGTATACATTAAATATGTACTTTTTACACGTCAATCACATCTCAATAAAGTATTTATTTAAAAAAATGTGGACCTTGTCCTGACGGTACCATAGAACTTTTTTGGCTACAAGAACGGAGCAGGGATCCAGCAAGATTCTTACCCGATAAGGCTGTGCAGCCTTCTCCAGGAGGACGGCAGCATGGTGCCTGTGCTCCCGGGACTCCCGACACATAACACACAGTATCTGCTGGTCATCCTTGCAGTAGTAATGGAGCTTCTCCAAATGCTGCCCACACAGCTTCTCTGCTCTTTGCTCAGATGGCCTTTCCTCTCGGGGCTGTCTCTCCTCATCTACTTTCATCCTCCAGATGTTCTCCACTAGGCTGGCCATCTGCCACACGTGGCGGATATTCTCTTTCTTAAAGGCTGTCTTGCAGAGAGAACAATATAATGGCTGCCGAGCAGACTCACAGACCTTAATGATGCAGTGGTAGCAGAAGACATGACCACAGTCAATGGTTACAGGGTCTCTCAAGTAGTCAAGACAGATTGAGCACAGCACTTCGTCCTCCAGGTTTCTCAGAGGAGAGGTAGCAGCCATGGTAGCCATGCTCAAACCCTGCAGAATGTTTCTTCTCAAAGCACAGAATGACTTTCTAGGAAGACATACAGGAAAACAGAAATTGTGAGTTTAATCAACATCAAGATGGAACCCAGAAGAAAATAGTTTTTATGTTCAGATTGCTTCTAATCTTTTTCTTCCAAATCCAAAGTTCCTTCCAGAGCACTAGTCAGAATAGGTTTCAGCCTCCAAAGTTAAATGGGTATTATTTTCAGGTAACTAGCTCTGCTGTAAACATTTTAAAAGGTATTTATACATGTAGTTAAGTAGAGGATGTTCTAGAAGATAATGGGAAAGTAAATCCCCAATAAAGTCTAAAATTTCCCTCTTAGTAGATCAGCTCAGTAAAAAAAAAATTTGTTGTAAATAATTCAATAGTAGAGAATAAGAATTGCAAAAATTTAGGGCTGTATTTGAAAACTCATCTGAGAACATCAGAGTTAGATTACTAGAAATGGCTACATTCAATCATAGGTCTGCTATTCATATGCTGTCTGGAAAACATCATGATGCTTTAAGCTAATAGTTTTCAAACATTTTTTGGACCATCACAGTGAGAAATGAATTCACATCCCAGTCTAATATACCTGCACATGCATATACACACACCTAAAATACAAGTTCTGTTAAATACTATTTATTCTTTATTATATGTAATACACTGATTTTTAAAAATTGCAGTCCAGTTTCTGTTTGGTTCTTTTTTGTTTGTTTTGTTTTTTGTTTTCCAAGAAAGCAAAGAGAGGATTTATTAAGCAATAGTACACTCTGAAGGGGAGAGCAGGTAGACTCAGTGCAGTCCATTTTTAAAATGTCGGTTTTAACCCACAAAATTGATGTCATAATACAAGGTATTGCTATCTATACTTTGAAAAACACTGATTTAAACCACACCAACTTTATTACTAACCCCGACCTCTACCCAGGAATGTAGACTCTAGGAAGCTACAAAGGCCTCCTGTATCACCACTTGAATAGCACCTTAAATTCACATCTCCAATTTTCCTCATTGTTCCTATTCCTCAGTAAAAAGTACCAACAACTATCCCATTACTCAAGCCAAAACCTAGATGTAATTTAAGACACTTCATTTTCTTTCACTACCACCTCCTGTATCTGGTCACTGGATTAAACAATACAATATCTGAAATAAAATTTTCACTGCATAGCCTTAACAGCAGAATGTAGATGACAGGAAAAAATAGCCAGTGAACTTGAAGACAGTGTAATAAAAATTATCAAATCTTAATAACAGAGCAACAAAAGAGTTTTTTAAAAGCAGGAACTCTGTGACCTGTGAAATATCAAAAGGTCTAACTTTTATGTCATTAGAGTCCCAGAGGAGGGAAAGAAACTGGTAAAGGAAAAAAAATTTAGAGAAAAAAATGGCTGAAAATTTCTCAAATACGGTAAAAGACATAGATTTATAGATTTAAGAAGGTCAGCAAATGCCAAAGAGAACAACTTTAAGGAAAACCACCCCCGATACATCATAAACAAATTGCTGCAAACCAAAGACGAGGGAAACAATCTCAAAAGCAATCGGAAGAAAATAACACATCAAAATGAGGGGAAGAACAATTCGAATGTTAGTTTCTCATTAGAAACCACAGGGCCCAACAAGACAGTTGCTACTTCAAAAGTGAAACATGAAAAATTAAGGGACATGAAAAATGACAAGGAACATGAAATTTTACATGTTCATGGAAATTACAAGGAACATGAAAAATTAAGGAAATAAGACATCACCAAATCCTGCAAAAAATGAAACCAAAAGGCATAGAGATCTGTAATTTACTCAATAAAGAATTCAAAATAGCTGTTTTAGGAAACCCAATGAGTTACTAGAAAACCTAGAAAGACAATTCAGTGAAATAAGAAAAACAATATGTACAAAAAATGAGAAATTTAACAAAGAGACAGAAATCATAAAAAGGAACTAAGCAGAAATTCTAGAGCTGAAGAAATCAGTGAATGAAATGAAAAATGCAATAGAGAACATCAACATCAGAATAAATCAAACACAAGAAAGAATCAATGAGCTTGAGGATAGAAACTTCAAAACAAGCCAGTCAGAAGAGAAATAAATGAGTGAAGATAGCCTACAGGATCTATGAGACACCATCAAGAGAAACAAAATCTGAATCATTGAGGTTCCAGAGGGAGAAGAGAGGGAGATGGACACAGAAAAACTATTTAGAGAAATAAGGGCTATAATTTTCCCAAACCTGGGAGTAATTTGAACATTCAAGTTGATGAGGTTATCACCCCATTACTTCAATCTGAAATGATCTTCTTCAAGATATATTATAATAAAACTGTCAAAAATATAAGACAAAGACAGAATCCTAAAATCAGCAAGTAAAAACAATACTGTAAACGACAAAGGTACCCCCATTGGGCTTTCGGTGGATTTCTTAGCAGAAAACCTACAGGCCAGGAATCCCACTTCTGGGTATATATTCAAAGGAAATGAAAACAGGATATTGAAGCGATATCTGCACTCCCAAGCTCACTGCAGCATTATTCACAATAGCCAAGATATAGAAACAACTTAGTATCTATCTATGAATAAGTGGATAAAGATGTGAGACATATATATATATAACACACACACACACACAAACATATATATACACACAAACATATACACACACACACGCAGGAATACTATTCAGCCATAAGAAAGAAGGAAATCTTGCAATTTGTGACAATGTGGATGGACCTCAAGGGCATTAATTACACTAAATGAAATAAATCAGACAGAGAAAGACAGATACTACATGATGTCACATGGAATCTAACCCCCCCCCCAAAATGCACAGAAATAGAAAATAGAATTGTGGTTACCAGGGGATAGGAAAGTGGGGGAAATGGGAAGATGTTGGTGAATAGGTACAAACTTCCAACCAGAAGATAAATAAGTTCTAGGAATCTAATGCACTGCATTGTGATTATAGGTAGCAGTACTGTATTGTGTACTTAAAAATTGCTAAGAGAGTAGATCTTAAATATTCTCACCACAAAAAAAAAAATGGTAATTATGTGATGTGATGGAGGTGTTAGCTAACACAAAGGTGGTAATCATATTGTAATATATGTGTTTCAAATTAACACGTTGTACACTTTAAACATCCACAATGTTATATATCAATTATATCTCAATAAAGTTTGGGGGGGAAAAGGAAAAAAGAAAATGCTACAAAAAGTAAGCAGAACTAATAAATAAGTTTAACAAAGCCCCTGGATACAGGGTCAGTATTTTAAAAATTAGCTGTTTGTCAATATACACAAATAAATGAACAACTGAAGATTGAAAATTTTAAAAACAGTACCATCTACAACAATACCATAAAACATGAAACACTTAGGTATAAATCTTACAAAATATGTATAGGATCTCTATGCTTTAAGCTAAAATTTTTTTAAAAACATGAAAGAAATCAAAGAAGATCTAAAAAAAGGGTAAAATGTACTACATTAGTGGATTGGAAGACTCAATATTCTTAAGATGTTATGTTAAACCTTGGAAAGTCCAAGGGGACACCATTGTAGAGCTGTTCTTAGGGCATCAATTGGCCTTAACCTAGCCATGAAGCTCCCCTCCACCACCACCACCATCACCCCCAATAAAGGCATATAATAATAAGAAACCCTACATCCCAGAGGACTGCAGAAATGATTCAGTGAGATCAGGTAAATAAATGAAAATCACTTTCCAAAGCAAAATGCAGTATAGAATGCTGGTTATTATTTCCATACCAAGAAATCGAAGCTAACTTTTCATTTTTAGCTGCCACCATGAGCCTCATACGGACCCTGCTTTGACCTTCTCTTTTCCATCTTCTTGGCGGTGAACGCACTGTCACAGCGCCTGGTCCACCCCACGCTCGGCCCTCGAGCCCAGCCCCGCACTCACTTGGGCCGCCTGCCGCCGCGTAATCACCGGAGAGGCCTGTCACTGGGCTCTGCTGGAGCCTCTGCGACAACTGCGGGCCTTTCTGGGCAACTCGGCCCTGTCTGCGCCTCCAGGACCCAGCCCTCGGCCCCGCCTCTTGGCTCCTCGGGAAAAGCCTCCACCAGGCAGCCCAAGGGCTGTAGCCGTTGCTCGTTGCTCGGGGACCCGCGCGTCCACGGTCCTGCCCCTCGCGCCCAAGTCGGTTGGGGAGACTGAAGGTCCGGCGGCACCACGGGGATTCACCAGCTACGGATGCTTTTGAGATAATTTGTACCGTGTTGTGATCCTCAGCAATTCCGTGAGGCAGGACACAAAGACACTAGCTGTCCCAGCTTACAAATCAGTCAGAGCAAGGAAGGCAACGCAGCCAAGACCAACTGGCCAAGATGGCGGCCGCCACTCTGACCAGGTCCCTGCCGGCCGCCTGGGCCGAGCCCTATGGTTGCCCGGCAACACGGGGCACTGATTCTCCCAGGCAGGCCTCTAGTTTCCCAGACCTAAAGGTGGAGATTTTTCTCTCTGTACTAGGGGCTTCAGCCATCCAGAGTCAGGTGCTTCTGCCATTTTCACCACTAATTTGCTTTCGCCCTTTTGAAAATTCCAAGTGCTCCACTCCACCTCCAACCTCACTCCAACCTCAGTCTTTAGAGAGGTTGTGGACCATTGGAGTTCCACCAATCTGGACAGCCATACTCATTGGTAATCCAGAATTCTTCGATTACTTTCCCTAGAGGAATGTGTAAGGTCTTGGCAACTCTTCATGTGACGCCAGGCACCCCATTATTTTTTACTTCAGACTAGGCGTACATGTTGCCAAAGTGCACGGTCACATACAACCAACCAATCAAATCTGAATCCCCAAACCAAATAGGAGCACAAAAGATGAAAAAGATCTTAGTAGCTGTGAAAAACATTTCTGCATGGAACTTACATCTCTACTGCTGCTAGGCCAGACAGGTTATTAGGATCATTACCTTTAAGCCCGAAAGTCTTTGCACCACAGAAGCCTCTAATGCATCCTCCCAACACTTTGCAATGTCCAGAGACAATTCTGGTTGTCACCCTGGAGGAGAGAGTGCTACTGACATCTAGTGGGTAGAGATCGGGAAGGTTGTTGACATCCAATGCACAGAATAATCCCTATACAATAAAATGTCATAGTGCCGAGATTGAGAAATCCTGTTCTAATGGATGTAGAGGATATAGCCCCAAGTATCCAACTTCAACAGTTACTTGCTCTTCTTTCATTTTTTCATGTGTATAATCATTCACACATGGATGGTTATACACATGAAAAAATGAAAGAAGTGACATATTTTACAGCAGAGAAAATGTGAAAATGGACTTATGCCCATGGAATTCACTGACGTTAACACATGTCCCAGCATCTAGAAGAAACGGGCTTTGTGAAATGGAGCAATGGTCTACTTTGAGGCTCACTTACAGCATCAACTGGGAGACAACCTCCTAAGAGGTTAGGGTGCTATCCCACAGGAAGCAATATGGGCATTAAACCAGTGGCCAATTGTATTTGTTTCCTACTGGTGCTGTTAACAAATGACCACAAACTTTATGGCTTAAAAGAACACAAATTTATTCTCTTCTGGAGGCCAGAAGTCCAACATGAGTATGGAGAGTTCAGCTCAGCGACTCCATGGTATTGCTGCCCATATTGCTGCCTCAGTATCTATTTTGTTTGGCCAAGCAGCCTGCAGGGACCTTAAACTGACCTTAGCCCCCTCACACAACCACATGCCCTAGATAACAGCCCATGGAATCACAAGCAAATGTAAGTTCCTGATACGCTTTCCCTAACAGCCCCTGATCAACAGTCTCCCTTGCCTCCCAGAACCACTCCCTTGTGCGGCCCTTAGATAAGACCTCCATGAAGCTTACCAATACCTGATCTATTTGGTTTGAATTGACCAACTGGGTCTTGACCTGGGATCCTAATAAAGGCAGGGCCCCCAGGTCCTGCTTCTCGCTCTGCACTTTCTCTTGAACTTCCTCTGTGGCCACCTGAGGCACGCTTTGTACCTCCTCCAGGACCTGTGAGCGATAAACTTCCCCATTTCCATTTCTCGTGTGTGTGGTCTATTGTTGAGCCATGCTCATCATCTAGCACTCTGTGCTCTACTTAACAAGTGTTAATTTAACAGTCATAACAATGAGTCTTATGGGACCAAAATCAAGATATCAGTAGGGGTGGTTCCTTCTGAAGACTCAGGGGAGGAATCATGTCCTTGCCTTTTTCAGATTCTGGTGGTCACCAATTTGGCTTGTGGCTCCTTCCCCCATCTTGAAAGTACATCATTCCAGTTTTCACTTCTTTTCTGTCATCTAGTTTTATTCTGGCTCCCTCTTATAAGAATACTTGTGTGTACACTTAAGGCCTACCTGGATTATCCAAGATATTCTCATCATTTCAAGATCCTTAACTTAATCACATCTATAAAGTTCCATTTGTCATATAAGGAGACATCCACAGGCTCTGGGGATTACCGTATGAATATCTTTGAAGCCAATTATTCAGCCTACCCACTCTCCACCCTCTGGCTCCCCCAAATTCATGTCCATTCCCAAAGCAAAATGTCTTCCCCCAGTAGAATGTAAGCTCCACTGAAATTTTTGTCTTGTTCACTGCTAGAGCCCCAGCATCTATAAAAGTGCCCGGCACAAAGTAGATGCTTAACAAGTATTGGTGAATGAATAAATGGATAGAATGTATGATTAGAAAGCAGGGGAGGTTCTAGCTCAGTGGTAGAATGCATGCTTAACATGCAGGAGGTCCTGGGTTCAATCCCCAGTACTGTGACTTTAAATAAATAAATAAACCTAATTATCCTACAAAATTAAAAAAAAAGTGTATGATTAAAGCTGGCAGTACAAAGCAGTGGGGAATTGAGGGGCTATGCAGTAGATGGTCCTGAGATAACTGGATAACCATCAAGAAAAGAGAAACAAATGTACATCTTACTCCAAACATAAAAATCAATTAGCCCAGCTATATTAAAGGCTTAAATTTGAAAGGTAATACTTTTAAATGTTTAGAAAATAATGTTCAAGATTATTTATGATCTTGGGACAGGGCAGGATTTAGCAAACTAGATCCAGAGTTCAAAATGTAAAGACTGATAAATTCAGCTACTTTAGAATGGAGAACTTCTCTTATGGTGTTGAAAGGACATCATCAAGATAAGCCAGAAACTCTAAGATATTTGTAACATACATAATCAACAAAGAATTAGTGACCACAATATATGAAAAAACAAATATTTCCCATAAATCCATAAGAAAAATTTAAAAACAGTCTAATAGAAAAATGGATAAAAGACACATACGGCATTATACAGAAGGAGACATACAAATGGAAAAAAGAAAAAAAATGAAAAATGCTTATCCTCATTAATAATCAGGAAAATGCAAACTAAAACTAAAATGTGATAATATTTCACACCTAACAGGTTGGCAAAAAGTTGAAAGCCTGACATTATCAAGTGATGCTGAGATGTGGTTCAACGGGAACTTTATCCAGCCATGGAGGAAGGGTAAGTAATATAACCTCTGGGAAACAGTCTTGCCTCACTTAGTAACACAATGAATATGCACATTCTAAGACTCAGAAATTCCTCTCTTGGTCACATACACTAAAAAGTCTTTGTAGGTTTTGCCAGGGAATACATGAATGAGAATGTTTATAGCAGCATTATCCATAATAGCAAAAAGCTGGAGACAAACCAAATTCCAGGAACAGTAGAATGGAGAAAAAAAAAAGTAGACTGTTCATATTTGAAATACTACAGAGCAGTGAAAATGAATGAGCCAAAGCTAAATACATCAAGATGGTGAATCTCAAAAACAAAGACAAGTCACAGAAGAACACATACGGTATGATTCCATGTATAGAAGTTTCAAAAACTGGCAAAACTAGGTAATGTACTGTTCAGGGATATCTACATGTGTAACACAATTATAAAGAAAAGCTAAGGAATGATTATCACAAAAAAGCACATTGATGCTTACCTTTAGAGGAGAGAGGGTGATACACCTGTTAAGGGCACACAGCGAAAGATGATGGAAATGTCTGATTTCCTAGAATGAGAGATGAATGCAGGTGTCTACTATACAATAATAATATTTTATTTTAAAATGCATGTATGCATTATATATACTCTTTTGAATATATGATATATTTCATAGTTTGAAAGAGAGGAAAGGAAATGAAGAGATTAAATAAAGATTTTCCAGTTATGGGGAACAGAGAAATGGGGGTGGGGTTAGCTAAGCAAAATCCTTGAAAAAGTTATGGTATCAAGTGGGCTTTTTTATGGGAGATACTATAATATGTGTGTATACTCATTAGAATAGGTCAGTGAAAAGGTAAAAAATGATGACGCAGGAGATGGGATACTACAGATGCATATAGTCTTCGAAGAAACAGAGGGGATGGGATCTGGCCCTGTTAGTGAAGGTGCAAACGTGGCTCGGTCGATGGCAGGGAAGTCAAGATGGTGCTGCCAGAGCAGAACCTTCTGGAAACCTGGCCTCTAGAACTTAGTGGAAATCTGCCCTCTGGAACTTCCCAGAAATCCACCACCTTGGGTGCAGGAGAAAACTGTTCACATTGGGGACGCTAAAATATGAAACCTCCCCAGGGGGTTACCTAGGGAGCTACTGGCGCTGTTTGTTGATGGCCACTATGCATTGTAGAAGCTGGACGCTAAGAAAGTTTCTGGTGTTCTTCAGAAGCCGGTGCTGGAAAAGTCAGGCGCTAGCTGCAGGAGTCTGGCAAGGACCGCACCAGAACCCGGAAGCAAAATCGGTTTTTTTCCCCTCCAATGACTCTCTGGTGCCCTCTACTGATAAAGCTCAGTGCCTGCTGGCAAAGTAAAAATAAAGGGCGCAGATCCATTATGGGAACCAAGAAACAATAAATCCACAATCAGCCCAATGGGAAAGGCGTGATATGGGGATAATGGGTATTATCTCAACGGGGAAGGTGTCATCAGGCTGACAATACCTGAACCTTCCATCACACTCGCAGTCACTCAAAGTGGTATCATATAGCCCTCACATGCTGCAATCGGTACACAGCAGCACTTATGAAATATTTCTCGCCTTAAAAAATGGGACCCCGAAGTATATTTAAAAACAGCAACAACAAGGAGCTCAAATCTGATAACACCTCTAGAGCTAACTACTTGTTACAAGGAATACAAGGATAGAGAAACAAGTTGATTGATGCTGAGGAAATCAGAGAAATTCAGAATGTGTAATATTTTACGAAATAAACGAACTGACTTCTGTAACAAATTAATAGCATGAAACTAAAGGGAGAGTAGTTGCTGTAACTAAAAGGATTAAAAGACATAATAATAAAATGCAATGTATTGTCAAAGTATAATTTTCAAAAACTTGAAAATGATGGAGCCTCTAGGAAATCTCCCCATTGAGGACCCTGGGAACCCAAGTTCCCGCTCGCTTTTTGGCCTCTGTGGTTTCTGAAGCCAGCGCCGAAGAGGGAAACAGCCCAGACACAAGGTCTTGGAACTTCGGTTTCCCCTTCTGTTGAATGGGGACAATAATGCCTGCCTGGTTTAAAGATCTTTTATGTAAAGCTCCCTACTCATCTAGGCGAATGGGAAATGGTAGTTAATGTTGATGCAAATAGTCCCCCGAGGCTATCTGCTTGCTAAGATCCTTCCTGGTCCAGGAAGGAAATTTAGGCCACTTTGTGGGCAGGGAGTCCTATTTAATGCTGAGCACCTGGCGAGCGCCACTTCGCAGCCAAGCACCCTCAGACCCTGGTCCAGACCCGGGCTAAAATAGGGAGGAGTGGGTGGATTCTGGCATCCCAGAGCTCTACAGAGGGGTCTAGTTAGGCCTCAAAATACGCTTCCCTTCCACCTAGGAGCGCGGGAGCGCGCACCACGCGCCAAACTCGAGCTGCTGCAGTCTCGAAGCCTGGGCTCAGAACGATTTCAGTTTCCTTTCCGCCGCTGCTGCCCCACCCCCAGCGGCAGCCCGGGGATTTGCCCAGTGATCAGTGACGTAGAGGGGACTAAAGTTCCCATTGGGAGACGGCGTTCGGCAGGGGCCAATCCGGGCGCTGGTCTGGGGGAAATCTCGGTGGAGGGCTCCGTAGAGTCCCG